TATCATTCCAGATAAAAACAAAAAATATAAAGAAGTGGGATGGAGAGAAAGAGGGGGATCAATGATAGTTTCAGGTAATTTTTATATAAATAGTTCAGGCACTATAGTTTAGTCGAAGTGATAAACAATAAGACCAGATGTTAATAAAATAGAAGCAGAACACCCAGGGGTTATGATGTGACACAGATGCTGCGATGTGATTAAACATTAATTCTAAGGAGAAAGAGGGTTAAACCTAAAAAAAAAAATAAAATGGAAGATAGAGAGTGTTGTGGAGTGATTTCGCAGTGGAGGCTTGTATTTGTACTAAGTCGGTCCTAAAATAGGTTCGACGTACAAAACGTTAGGAACTTGATATAATAGGTATGACGCAGAGAAATCTTGTTGTGGTCGCTGATATTCGTATTCGACTAACTGTCGTGCGACATCGACTGACTGACCGACTGACTCACTGATTCGTTACTCTTACTACTCCTACTTATTATAGGTGGGAGAGTCTATTAACTATAGAATAGGTGTGTTTCACCATAACCCCCCCTCACTCCTAAAACTTTACTCCGTAGAAGTAAAACAGTTTTATTTATTTATTTTTTACAGGAAATATGAAGAAAAAACAAAACTTCATTTTTTTAGCAACATCGTAGCATATCTCCTACGTTTTGGATCCACTTTTAAAATGATCAGTTGCCTTTCTTTTTCTCCTGGATCGGCGTACCTCTGGTAAAATCGTTGTAGGCGTTGTTAGATCAAACGTATCGAAAATCACCTCCATCGACGTTTCTTCCGCGGGGCCGCTGTCAACCACGTCTGAAAAACGTCGTCTGATCTGGTTACTGCACGTGAATTTTTCGCCTTTCACCAAGTACATCATATAGCCAATCCGCTTTTCTATTTTTTGGTACCTCCATAGTGTTACCAGAAACAACCTTCCGCTTTGAGCTTCTTAAGGATGGAGTCACAGTTTCTGTAGGTTCTTCTTGTGGTTCTATTTGTTCAGCATCTAGCTTCCCTTTTGTTGATCTTGTGCTTCTTAACGTTTTCTATGGTGACTTCAGTTGACTTAAATCATTTAATAATACTGCATGTCCTTGGCTGCGGGTAACTCGCTCCCCAATTTTTCTCGGTGTCGGCTTCATTTTTACTTTCTGGAGCTTGTTTTTTTCACGTATACCGTCGGTGTAGCCCATTCACTATATTCAACTTTTTTAAGTACACCGGTTTTCTCTAATCTGTCCAATTCTTTATCTATCTGTTCAGTTGAGGCATACGGCACATTACTTTTCTTTTTGAATACCGCCTGAGCGTTTTCTTTTAGCTGGAATTTTGCCTCCATCTTGGTACACGTTCCCAACGCTGGAGAAAAAACAGTAGGAAATGTTTCCTTAAGTTTCTTTACTAGTTTTTGGGCTTCGGTGTTTAAACTTTCTACCTTGTAACAGAAGGAATTTATCGGTAGATCCCATAATTGGAATTCTGTTATCCAATTCGTACCAAGTAAGTTCGTGGTATTTTCTATGACAAATAGTTTAGCTTTTCGCGTTTTTTTATTTAACGTGAGTTTGTAACAAATTCCCCAATAAATTGTATTTTTCTCCCATCACTGACCTCGCAATTTTTTTTGTCTTCATTAAAATTGGTTTCCCCAAGTTTTTCCACGTATGCAAATTTATGATAGATAGGTCGGAATCAGTGTGGAGTTGCATTTTTATTTTTTTATTACTTATTTCGACGGTAACAAATTTTATGGTTATTCCATCTTTTACCTCGTTCGACTTTAATTTTCTTATTTTATTGTCTTTATTTTTTGACCTGCAGTGCGAGCTGTTATGACCCACATTTTTACAGTTGAAACAATTTTTATTCCTAAAATTGTAATATCTGTACCAGTGTAGTTCACCGCAAGCAAAACATGGCTTCCGAAGTTTTTGCTTATTTTTCTCTGGTATTTCACTTTTTTCTTGATAATCCGCAATTTTAGAATTCTTTTTGGTAGACTGACTTTCTTCTTTGTAGCATATTTTCTTTACATGCGAAACGCCAGACTGTTCTATCTTTTTTGAATATTTCTTTAAGCTCTTGTGCAGTCGTTTGCCAACTTCTGTACCGTAACACTTGGATCGTTTTCCAATTTTGCCAGTACTAATTTTCTCAACTCTGCGTCTCTTTTCGATACCAGCCCCTGAACAAACACCAAGCGCTTAAAATTGTCTGCGCTTAACTCTGCCAGCTTGAATTCTTCACAATGCTTATTCACATTGGCTGCGTATGTTATATAGTCTTGTTCGTCATCTTTCATCAGATTCAAACATTTCCACCTCTTGTGAAACAGAGATGTCTTTTTACTAAATAATTCACTTAATATATTTACCACCTCGGTAAATGTCAACTCGCTAGTTTTTTTCGGTAAAATGTAGTTTACCAATTTGTTATGCTCAGCAGTTCCTAATTTGCTTAAAAAAAGCCTAACCTTCTTTCCTTCAGACCACGAGTGGCAGTCCTCGTTATACACGTCCCTATATTTTTTATAATACTCCTCAAAAGTTATCTCTTCATCTGGACTGTACGTGAATATTTCAATTGAATTCCATATTGTATTCTCTGGAAAAGAATCATTTTGTAGATTTTTCTCTTTCCTCTTCTCAATTATTTCCAGAATTTTGTTTTGAAACTCCCTATGCATCTGTTCCATTTCTTGTTGAAATTGCATTTGTCTATTGAAAGTTTCCTCCTGTAGTTGCATCTGGAATATTTTCTATTGCTCTAATATTGTCATCTGTTGTTCCGATTGGAACTTAAAGAATTCACGGAATATATTTTTGCATTCCTCCATCTTCGCAAAAGTTTACACAATGCCTAAATACTGTAGAGGTGAGTCGTACGAATTTGAAATTCGTGACCTATGTGGGCAAACTGTATTATCGAGAAAAAAATTCTTTTCTCAGTTGAGAATACGACAGATTTTTTCGTCACTAAGTTGACGTCTTGGCTTTCGAAAAACTTTGCTATTTTTTTTTAAGTGTGAATCCAAGACTTTACCGCCGAAGTTATTGTGGCGAGCGAATTTTTTCTTTCTCCTTACGAGGACGAATTTCGTCGCCAAAAATTGTTATGGCGAGCGAATTTTTTTTCCCACCGTACGAGTACGAATTTCGTCGCCCAACGTTATTGTGGCGAGCGATTTTTTTCCTCCGTATGAGTACGAATCCCTCGTCGCCAAATATTGCTATGGCGAGCGAATTTTTTCTTCCTCCGTATGAGTACGAATTCCTCGTCGCCAAATATTGTTGTGGAGTGATTTCGCAGTGGAGGCTTGTATTTGTACTAAGTCGGTCCTGAAATAGGTTCGACGTACAAAACGTTAGGAACTTGATATAATAGGTATTTATGCAGGGAAATCTTGTTGCGGTCGCTAAAACTTTCGTATTCGACTAACTGTCGTCCGACATCGACTGACTGACCGACTCACTGACTCGTTACTCTTACTACTCCTACTTATAGGTGGGAGAGTCTTTTAACTATAGAATAGGTGTGTTTCACCATAACAGAGAGATAGAGAGAATAGATAACATTTTCTCTCTTAATGTGAAAGTAAAGAAAGGGTCATCTACAAATTGAAACGAGGCACCAAGTGTTTGGTTTTTATGTATCGAAAATCTGGCTTGCGGGTAAAGCAAACTAGGAAATAGCTTTATCTCTTTCTTGTGGAATTAAAAAATACATGCCATTGACAAAAAGGGAAGCAAACTAGAATTATATTTTCGTCAGCCAAAACGCGTTAAGAAATAAGTTAAGCGGAGAGTGAGCACACTGCGGAAGTTATGATTGTGAAGGTCGATAGGTCATAGCAAGCCAGTGATCTGGTTTGTGTTATCGCTAAGCCGACGACCAGACCAAGGATTGAGAACAGCGTGTCTCTTTGTTGAAAATTTACGTAAACAAATATATTTTCTTTGGCGAAAACAAATTGGGAAATAATTTTTATTTATTGCTCGGAAGGTTAAAATGAGGTGATCTAGTTTATGTTTTAGCTGGACAGCTGGGTCCAGGAAAGGAGTCAGAAAATTAAAATTTACGAGGAGAATAAACCAAACCACTTCTCCTACGCACTTTAAAAATTAGATTTGTCAGAAAGATAGCTCTGAGAAATGGGCAGAGTTAGAATACCAAGACGGAAGGACTAAGGGACAAAATTTAGCCTCGCATGTGCGGAGTAACGGTATGAGATGTGAAGTGAAGCAGGTTGAAGTTAAAGAGGAGCAATCCCTGTGAATACTACCAAAGAAGGTGGATAATTTGGAAAGTTGATAGAGAAAGTAGAAATAGGGAACAAAGAAAAACTTTATTGGAATTAATGAAAATTGGGAAATAACTAATCTACAGAACCCTTCAGCCCCACGCCAGTTTTGGGCTGAAGTGCATATAAGCAGATGGAGAACTCAGAGACTTTGGGCGGAGAACCCGAATTGAGTGCCTCTCAAATCCACGTCAGCTGCCGCCAGATTCCGAGACTTAGAACCCAGCTCATCCAGAGGTTTATACAATAGAATTGAGACGGGAAGGGTTAAATTTTTATTGTACCAAGAGCTATATATGCTAATTGAAGATTAATCCCACGATTCTCTCCGTTTTTTTCGTCGTGAATATATTTTTTCCTTAATATAGCACCCGCCACTGCTTGAACCAGCGCTGCGAGACTCCGATCTTCGATTTTCCACTGCCCTGAGATCAAGAACAAAGCGTGGGAGGAGATGGTGTGTATCAAAGCGGCCAGTGACCAACAACCAACTTGAACCAACGTCAGCATTGACTAGCGTAGAGCTAGTCCTGAGGTTAAAACGTCGTCCTAATACCCTGGGAACCAGACTACTAAAACGTGCCTATACCACTGAGTATAGGAGGCATCGAAAGGTGTCATAATTAAAATATCGGCCTGACAGCCTCTCTAAATCTATCCGAATGGCCAAATATAAGTATATTTTTTAAATCCCTTCTTAGTCGAGATGAGAATACTTAGTACAATCTATCTATCTATCTATCTATCTATCTATCTATCTACAAGGAAAGTTAATGTGTACTTTTATAATCTTTTTTCTAATTTTTATATTTCAGATTCCTCCCCACCGAATATGGTTTTAACAACTGAAGAATGTGTATTTCTCATTCAACAGCTGATCCACATCGCAATGCAGTTCTTAATCTTATTGATAAATTTTGAGAAGCAGGATCATTGGACGATGCCAAATGTGGTAGAATGCCAGCAAAGCTATTGGTGGAGAAACTATTGTATCAGAGAAACAAGTGAGACTATTGCAGCAGTGTCCAAAAAAATTATTACGCAAGGTGTTTGGCTTGGAACTGCTCATAAGGCTTTCAGACACAAATTTAAACTCTTCCCATACAAAATAATGGCGGCATGACATTGAAAGCAACTAATCATCATAAAAAGCGACTGTGCTATTGCAGATGGTTTAACCGATTTATCGAAGAAAATACTCCTTTAATGTATTGGATGTGACATTTCTTTACCAACGAAGCATGGTTCCATGTCTCGGCTTACGTTAATTCGCAAAACACATGATTGTGGTCCTCCAATAATCCTTACAGTTTGCATGAAACACTCCTACATGACCTTAAAGTTGGAGTGTGGGTGGTGATTTCTGGATGTCGAATTGTTTTCTTTATGAACACGATAAACAGCGAGTGCTATTCTTCAGAGATTCTTCCCATTTTCATTGGTCAGATGGCAAATCAATGACTCGTGGTTTCAACAGGACGCTAGTACTGCTCATAAATCTCATAGATCTATGCAGCTTTTGGAGAGAATTTTTCCATACCGTGTTATTTCCAAAGAGGTGTGGCACCCACGCTCACCAGATCTAAATCTACCAGACTTTTGTCTATGGAGAACAAAAAAATCTGCAGTGTATCGAGATTGTCCGCGCACACTGGATGATTGAAAGCAGTGTTCATCAGGCTATTTCAACCGATCGACTGATCGCAGTGTTCAAAAACAAAATAAGAAGGATCCAAGCCTGTATTGATGTTAACTAACGGGCGCCAGTGTTTATAATTTTAATTAATATTCTCTTCCGGTATTCTATATTAAAACATGTCTGTTAATAAAAATATAAGTGCATAGGGACTTACCGAACACCCTATATATATATATATATATATATATATATATATTAAAGAAAAAATGAAACTGTTGAAGGAATCAACGAAGAATTTGCGAAAACCTAAAAATCTTATCCAGATAAATTTTCAAACAAAAACGACAATAATGAAAGAAAAAAGGAAAAAAATCCCTTAAGGCAAACCTACCTACTCAGTAGTGCTTGGAGGCCTGCCAACAAAGAAAAGAACTTGCCTAGGTCGCAAAACCGCTGCCGCCAAGTCCGCCATGCGAATAAGAGATAACGAATCGTCTTTAGAACGTTCAGTTCGCCTGTCTTAAAATGCCTCTCGGAATGCTTCAATCAGAGCCACTGAGTCCAAATCCATCGGCTTTTAAGAAGAGCATACCTGAACGCTTCTGCGTGCGAGGCTGAAAATGATGCTCAAAGGACTCAACGGTTTAGGAGAAACGCTTCTTCAGCTGCTGATTGAGAACGCAATTCAAAGTGTTAACACCCCACTTTAGGGATGGGCCTCAGTTGCACCCAATTGTTGTTACTAATATTGATTTTCAGGTAGGCTGACTTTAACTTAAACTGCTTCAAATGAACAGCAAAAATTCCCAGTAATGAAAGACCCGGTCGACGACGGATCTTTCATTCCTGGGAATGCTTTGTATACTGCTTGTGTATATATATATATATATATATATATATATATATATATATATATATGTGTGTGTGTGTTTTGTTAATGAACTGACATTATCAGAAAAAGTCTTTTATTTCACAAGGACTAAATCTACATTTTCATTTTCTTATGAAATAAAATCATTTTCTCATGAGGTTGGTTCATCGGTGGAACGAATAATTTTTTATTCTCTTATATATTTACAATTCTGTTGTATTCTCATTCAGTTTTCCTCGAAAGTGCGAATACACCCACATATTTGGGGGGGTGAGAGAGAGTAAGAGAAGGAGAGAGAGAGAGAGAGCAAAGGTGTATGAGAATCAGACAGAATAGAAAATATATAAAAGTATTTGGAAAATGTTTCACGTGACAAATTCCTCGGTTGTCCCACGCGATCAATTTTATTGTGCAAGACCAAAATATACATTTCCTGAACGATCCTTTATTCCATTTAAGGTTCTGGGCACTTGATTTTCACTTTGAATGTATCGTTATACAGATTTGATTTTTAGCTAATTACAACACAAGGACCCTAGCTAATTTAAAAAAAAAAACTATTTTTAACCAATTACAGCACAATGGGTCCCAGCTCAACTATCTTAGAACGAAGTCAAGTAGGCGCTAAATGATTTTAATCTGGGCTTTAAGTGCTGACCGTTTTTCATCACAACTAACAGTAAAATCAATATGTAACAGCTTCAAAGAAGCTACCTGCTGTCCACATGAAAGGAAATAGTCATGAAAAAAAATTACTAACATTTTAGGGATCAAGCGTCACTCGGACGGAAAGTAGAGAAATCCGGTCGTGGGCTTATATAGCCAATGCCATTTATTGCAAAGAGGAGCCGTCCGTCCAACCAGCCACGTCGATAGCATTTATTGGAAGTAAGAATTGGAGAAGAGACTTAAGTGCATCGGGAAAGAATTTTAGGTCTGATGCGAAACTCGTTACCTAATATATTTGTGTTTTCTTTTGTGGAGACTTTTTTTCAACTTGAGCATATGACATCCCTTCTTATTTCTTACGACGAGAGATAACAGCTCCACATTGGTGGCTCAGGTGAAACAACGATGCATAAAAATATAGGTTTCTTTCATTCTCTTCTTTTTTTAATCGGTATCACTTCATGTAAGGCAGTAAAGCTACTATGACACAAGAGGTTACAGGGTGTGGAGAAATTAGAAACAGAAACATTAATAAAGATCGAGAAGAGAAATGAGTGCTTAGAAGGGCAATCGATATCGATTGACATTGCATTTAAATTTTTGCAGATTAAATTTGGCTGGAATGCATGGTGTCGGAATGGAGTCCTACAAAGGAGAAGTGCGAGAAAAGATACTGTTAACATAGAACTTATGGTTACATTTAGCCAGCTCATCTGTAAATTCATGAAATGTCAACGCTAGTTTAGTATTCCGCTTAAATTAAAAAAGTCTAGGTAACATAGCGAAGTGCTCATCTGAATAATTACCATGAAAGTTTTTATAGAAAAACACAGAGTGGCAACCCCATGGCGGCGGGAAAGTGGCTGAAGCCAAACCGCCAAATCAGGATCAATAATATTTCTGATTTTTCTTTGGCTGTTATCAAAGAGCTCAAAGTAAGTAGCAGAGGAACAGGACCATATGTTGCAGCAATATTCTAAGCATGGATGAATGGTAGACTTATAGATATGTAAGACAGATTATCTTGGCTTATTGGCAGCGTGTTTTACCTTACTTGGCAACATTGTTAACCACGTTTTTAATACCTTCTAATATTTTATTTTTTATTAAAGATCGATTGTAGAATTTACTGGGCTTGTCCTTCGTTTCTAACTGAAGAACTTTGGTGAACTTCCATCTCCGAAATAAGTTCTATCGTTCATTTCTAAACTTATTACATCAAAAGTAAGATTTTGTAGGATTATAGAAATTCATATCGATACGAATGTAAATCAGGGTCCATGCCTTAGTTATGCATCACATATAATCTTCTATTGCTCGTTCTTAGATTCTTCTGTGGAAGTTTTAGAAATGGGGTCTCGCTCCGAAAGTGATTCTCCTTTCCTAAAAAAGAACGTATGCCCGCGAGGTAGCAGAAAGATCAGAATGTAGCATTTCCTCACCCCTATAACTGATCATTAGATAATAAAATATGCGATGTCATTTTGGTAAATATATCTACTAACTTAAAAAAAAAATATCAAATTTCATTCTGTGTATTAGATTGGGTAAACATTCGATGTGCTTATTAAGTACAACTATTTTTTGTTTCTTTCGGCATTGATTTTATTGATCAACATCACCATTATTGTTTATTAACTTTCAAACAAATTCATAATTCCATCCTCCCAGAACTTTCTACTTGGAGTTCCTTTTGCAGTTCCCAGAAAAAAAACGATATCTATTCATGAAGAACATTCTAGTATGAAGGTTCAATATATAGTAAATATATTGGATGAGTGAAAACTTCTCAGTCAAACGACAGTAATATGTGCCTGGTCACCCAAGAAACATGAAATCTATATTAACCTTGATGACGTGTTACGTCCTTTTTGTTAACTAATTCCTAACAGATGTTTTCATCGATTACTGAATTCAGTTAGCTTAGTAGTTTCAAAGTTTTCTCATCACCCGTCACAATATGTTAAAAATGTTTAAGTCACTATTATTATATATTCAGTTTATTTGTCTATTTGCAAATTACTTTATCGTTTCGGTGATTATAGCCTACTTGGGATATGATTATTGTTATCAAGCTTGTTTTAAAAGCAACTGTTAAAAATTTCGATCCTCAATGAATCTATGAAGAAAGCGGCCTTCTTTTGATTTTACTGACCACAGAAATTTTGTAATAGAACAGTGCCTATTTCGCAAGCCGTTGGAAGTGAGCCCCCCCCTCTTGTTATCTATCCTAGAAACAGCGGAATGCAACAAATAATTTGTTTTCAACGTTTAATCGTCTATAATGGTTAGCAAGTGTGTCTCGGACATCGTTACTAATGAGTGGTGAGTTTATCTGGGTGCCACATGTCTGTTACCTTGTGAAAATAGTGGGCAACTAAATAATAGTAACCTAATCTGTATTAAATTATAATAATTTTGTAGGTAGTGGTTTTTAAAAATGTTCATATCTGTAGTGATTATGTTTTTAAACATGTTAAAAAGGCTTTTATTACATTGCTTTTATGTTTGAAGTGATAGGCGCATTCAAGACTGTGAAAAATGAAGATGAATAAAGAATGTTATAAGTTCAAAGAATTACATAGAGAGAATATTTGTAATGCGATGTGCGTATGGCATTAATTTGCACCCAGATATCTGACAGCTAATTTAAACTGATATATCTTCAGTATGCATAACGATAAACCGGAAAGCAATATGTTCATTGAAATATTATCTCGTTATTTACAATGAGACATAAATTTTAACACTCAGAAGCGGATAACTTTGTCTAGTTTGGGAAGATAAGCCGCGTTTTCTTATTTTCATTTGTTACCTTCCCTATACTTTTTGGTAATATTTTTCAAAGTAATAGAAGACTAAATATTGCATTCCCCAACATTTATTGCCCTAATGAATATTGAACTGCTACGCACATGTTTGGAAAATCTACAGAAACACAAAATTTATAAAGTTTTCTGTATCACGATTACGAGTTCCGTAAGCCCTGAGAGCAGTAGGGGTACCACGTGTACTGCAGCTATAATAGCAGTGGTGTGTCTCGGATATGATATCGAGGCTGGTTTGAATTCAGAGTTTTCCATCTCATAGAGTGTTTGCCAATCAAGGCTATAGGGTCAAGTCTACCTTGCTATTTACCAATACTTGGGCGGGGGGATGAATTTATACTTTTTTCAAGTGTATTTGAACGTAAATAAATATAACGAGATCGATTGGAATTCGAACAATGTCTTCCGATTTCTCATTCCGAGCTGCTATCCATTGCACCACCTGCACATCCATTTTTGTATGCAACAACTTAACAGCTATGTTAACGGGATGTAATTTTGGCGAAGAGATTTACATGTGACGTATTCAAAAATATACTAGACATAATGTAGGTCATTAGCATGCTCTACCATCAACTACACATTATTAGAGACAAATAATACTGGGCAAATAAATAATAGTAATAAAAAATAATTATAGTAACGTTGAAAATTAAAATAATGGTTTTACACTTGATCATTACTGGAGATATCTATATTGTTACCAAACGTGTTGTTAGTGCGAGCGAGTATCTACATTTTTAAAATCTCTTAAATTAGTTGCTTCCTTTTCAAACAAATTTTGCATGTTTGTGTTTACAGGTATAATACCAAAGAGCAGGAAGTATATTGAAAGTTAACAGCTTTTAAAATCTTTCAAATTTGGTTTGTAAATGACAAGGTTGAGAAAATAAAAATTGTGTAAGGAGAAATTGAAACTCAATTCCAAATTCACACATCAATACAGAAAAATACATTTCAATGTCACATTATATCGTCCAGTTCATACAATCCCCGGTCTTTGGAACAAGAATAGATGTTTATTTCTTGTTCCCTGTTTAGGATTGGCTTTCCGGTTCCTTCTAAAGTTTTTTTTCATTCTCTTTCACTCCTAGCAGGGGCCTAATGGGGGTGCAGAGTCTTAGTGGCATTATCACCATGCTTGGGGTAAATTGATTAAAAATAAAATTCTGTGATGAGGCCAGAGGGAAAAATGTTATTTGATTTTCCAAATGAATGTGCTCACTTCATTCCCAAATGAGCGATTCAGTCGACAATCAAATTCCTTTGAGGAAAGGTTATAGCCAATTTATAACAACGTACATGGAATCGGGAAACAAAAAACCTATACGTATTAATGAATAATGAAATATAATTTACTGTATTAGTTTCTGCGAATCAGAATAAATTGTCGATTACCATATTCACTGCTTTTTGAAACAGCTTTTCTTTCATTTCTTTTTTCTTTCATAAAGGTCATATTTATATGTGTACATATATTATGTGCAATCTATCTATCTATCTATCTATCTATCTATCTATCTATCTATCTATCTATCTATCTATCTATCTATCTTTTTTTTAATTTTTTTATAAGTATTTCACCCCAAGCAAGACTGGAAGCCACTAGCACGCAAGGGGTTACATAGGATTTGAAGCGAAAGCAGATAGGAGTGATAGAGGAAAGGATGAAGAGAAGGATAGTGGATAGATCAAGGCAACTGGAGATATCTAATGACATTACATTTGAATAGTTGGAGATTATATCTATCTATCTATCTATCTATCTATCTATCTATCTATCTATCTATCTATCTTAGTCTGTTCACATCTATCTATCTATCTATCTATCTATCTATCTATCTATCTATCTATCTATCTATCTATCTATCTATCTATGATCAATATTATAAGTTGAAACCTAACATATATTGTTCATATAAATGAAGGTATTCCATTAAGATTTTACAACGTCGCCTGAGTAATTGCAAAAATATTGACTTGCATAATAAAATCTGACTTGGTATAATATCTTTGATTTAAAAATATTGATAATCACTTATTTTGGAGATGTTATCTTTCATGTTCCAAATAAAATAAGTGTAACAGAAATGTTTATTTGAAAATAATCTCAAAAGTTTACGACCGTAGAAACATATTTTGTATTAACCCAATATCCCATGAACTCGAATGAATTATTATATTTTTATTAATTAATGTATAAATTACTGCTCAGAGGGTAAGTACTAATTTATTTAAAAAAATTAAACAAAAATGGAACAAAATTGAATTACGCATTTTTATTAAGATTAACACTATAAAAATGTCAACTCAAATATACGTGAAGCAAAACTCCATCATTAAAATTAATCAAAACTGAAATGAAAGAAATAATTTAATCTAGCATTAGTTTGAACATTTTTTAAAGTTTACTTTCCAAGAAATATTTGTGAGTGAAGATCATTGGTGACGTGAATTTGAAATTGTCATGTGTGTATGGTTTCGGTTTCACAGCTAATAGAAATAGTCGCTTGAAATGTTGATATATTTAGTCAAATTTTTAATCATTTCACCCAAAGCAAAACGGGAATGCTACGAGTACGCGAGTGGGGTGAGGTGGGTACAAAGAGTGAAGGAGTGAGAAAATACTGGGTACAGAGGAGACCGTGGAAAGGTTAAAAGCTGAAGGGGGTTCAAGAAAATAGAAGATGGCATGTATTACTATATTGATGCGTAACGGGAAAACAGGCTAAAAAAAGTTCATCTTTTAAATTTCAAAGTTCTAAGAACTAAGAGAAAGAATGACTCAGTGCAGAAATTTATAAAAAAAATAATAAATAAATAACAAAGGGTTTTAACTGAATTATAAATATAGCAACGTAGAAGGTAAGTTGCTTATAGAGAATTGCTATTTTTGGAATAATTAAACGATTATAGAACAATCAAGTGATAAATATTTTGATACTTTTACTAAAAACAGTAAACATAAAAATGAAATGTTTTTAGGTTGCCATAAAAATAACCGAACATGATATACTAAGTAATTCTAGATTAACTCTAAATTATATGATATAGCAGATTGCGTCAGACGTTGAAAATTAAAATAATGGTTTTCCACTTGATCATTACTGGAAATATTCAACGAACAGAAAGAAAACCAGTGTATTATAACTGAATGTTTTGGGAAGTAGGAAGATTGTGTTAATGTTAAGGCGGGAGTTTTCCATAGAATTAAAGAAAACAAAATAAAAAAAATATTATTCAAAAAACAAAAAAATGAAAATAAAAGAAAAAAAAAAATGTGCAAATTCCAAAAAAATGGCTTTAAAATTGTTGAGTTAATTTGAGTTAATTTAATTTAACTTGAAAATCTGAACAAGAATACATGTATTTCAGCATATAAGTTTCATATTTACAATATGAAATCTGAGTATAAATTTAAACAAAGACATTTATATAAAAGATATATTTTAAAAAAGATTAAGCAAAATGTCTACAGTGCTATTTTGAAAAGGAGAGATAGATTCACAGTGCGGTATAGACATTTGGAAAACTTTGTTCGTTTGCATTCATTTAGCAGTAAAATCATTTTTGCCTCTGACATTAGAGTTTGTAATGTTCGTTCTGTCTGCATCTGTTCCTGTTCACTAACAATTTCGAAAAGTTCTGAAAATTGAAATATTTCATCAGAAAAACAATCTTTAAAAATTATTTCATTATTTACATTATTCGGAATTTCTGTCAGTTTAATACTAAACATTACATTACACCCACAATACTTGGCAAAAATGATGTCAGAATATTATTTACAATTTGGTCTTGTCTTTGCTTCACTTAATGCAACAAATCTTTCAATAAATATTTGAACTCTACTAATGCCTTCAGCTTGTGTTGCTTCTTAAAATAAATTTGTTATGTCCTTGATGGCACAGTGGATAAAGACGTTGGTTAGATCCAGTGACAGGACCCAGGGAGTGTGAGTTCAATACCCGGTTAAGGCAGTGGAGAACTTTCAGAGGTAAATTAACAGGAGATAACTGATAACTGACATCCATCAAACATGGCACGTGGAACTAGAACAGTCTACCCCAGTGAGCGAAATAAAGATTCACTTCGACATTCCAACCACCTGAAGAAGGCCGGAGCGTACAACGGCCGAAACGACAAAGATGAGGACAATAGTCCGAATAATGTAAATAATGTACATAATACCTTATCTCAGAAATATAGACAGACAAAATTATTTCAGTATGTCATCCTTGCTTCATTCAGTTATGTTGGGAAGAAAAATAAACTTTTCTTGGATGCGTTTGTATGCATCTAAACGACATTCAAGAACAGATGAAAATTAGTCAATTATCACCAAAAAAATAAACCTCTGCTTTTATCTGTTTTTGTTCACCACTGCAGTAACCAGGTATTGAAAGATGAGGATAACAGTTCGAACAATGTAAATAATTACAACTCTTATCTGAAACATTGTCGCATGACTGACCACTAAAATATTGAATGTTTATGCCATTGTTATTTTTTAAAAAAATGAAGAATAATTTAGATAATTTCTGATCCAGTGTGAAAAACGATTGCTAAGAATTGTTTGACAAGATTAAAATGTAAAAGAAAGAAAAAAAGCGTAGAATCCGATGCATAATATTTCTCCTAGAGTCAAGGGATATCAAGAAGTGCATCGGCGATTTGACTTCAGCAACAATCACAGATATAATCTCTTGACCCATGAGATCAATTAATTCCTATCTCTCCATAGCTAACTGAAAATAGGGCAGACGTTTGTCCAAATATCTTGTTGTCATACTTACCAGTTCAGCAAGAAATGTGGCATATTGAATCAATAGCTGCCATTATTTGATGAACATATCATTTCTTGTAACGAACAGTAATGTCACAAATGTAAAGAAATTGTATAACACTATTCTTCGAAGAACTTCTTTTTAATATTGGATTTCACTTACACACTGCTTCACTCTCGCCAGAATCTATCTTATCATATTTTTAAGTCTCCCGTTCGTCTATGTATTGAATATTGTTGACACATCTGGTCCGTTGCTCTTGCTATATATTTAGAGATGTTTTGTAAAATCCAAAGAAGAATCTGCAATGTTATTTGTCCTGGCCTGGCATGTCGGCTTCAGTCACATTCCGATCGCCGCAACGTAGCTTCTTCGTGCCTTTTCTATAAATACTTTCATGTCAATTGTTCTGAAAAGACTTTCCTCTATAGTACCTAGACTTTATGAATTTAAGCGCCGTACCAGATAGGCGGCAAGGTTTCATCATTTTACAGTTGAACTGGCTAGATGTACCCGTAAGTTCTATCATCATCATCATCATCATCATCATCATCATCATCATCCTCTTGACTTTTGTAATCGTAGGGGGGGGGGGTCCGAATGCAGAAACCACACTGAATCTCGTCCACAACGATCGAGCAACAGCAGCCATCAGCAATTCTAGCAGAATTATACCTGTCCATTGTTTTACATTGTCCAACAAGTTTTTTTTTCTCCATTTGACAATGGTGAGAAGAGGTTCCTGGTGTCCCACAAAACTTTCAACCCTTTTCCACACAAACCCATTGGTTTTTGGTTCCAAATAGAAGATGCCAAAGAGTTTTTACATGCATTTTTTCTCAAACGCTTGGATCCTTCTCTCTTTTTCTGCTAATAGTAGTGTCTCACATTTCTCGTTTGTGGAACTCACTTCAGGCTTATTGCTTGCCAGTCAACTTCGATCTTCAAAAGTTTTATATGAAATGTCAATCGTTATTTTGTGTCTTCTTAATTCCTCTTCTTTTATTGTTCTCTTCCCTTAATAGTGTTTTTTTGCTTCTCATATTATCATACTCAGTAACCCCTTGCATCTTAGTGGCATTATTGCCTGGTTTAGAGTGAAGTGATTAAAAACCAAAAATCAAAACATTGAAAAGTACAATGACAACGTTGAAACTTTTATTCAATTGTGCTACAGATTTCTTAAATGAACCATCATTTCTAGATGGCACAAATATGGGCCATGATGGATTCAGTAATTTCATAGGTTTTCAGTTATTTCTTGAGATTAAAGATAGAGATCACACTTTAAAAATACCATCCAAAAATGTTTCAAAGAAATCTTTATAATTAGTAACTTGTAACATTAAATAACCTAAAAAGACATGGCAACGTCTCTAATGGTCGACGCAATTGATTCATATCTATTGCAGCTCATGTATTATGTACTGATTTTTTTTTAATTATTGGGTTGAATAGTATTGACACCCACCTTCATAAATCTTACGAGCTATGTTCTTCCCACAGGTTCCCAATTGGAGTGCACCCAGGAGAAATTGCTGACCAACGTATAATGTAAATGTTATGGTTCTTATTCGCTGATGTAGCATTAACTTGTCGGAACTTTCAGTTTGCGTCTGCAATTTCTTCTGTATAAGGATTCAAGGCATTAGATAAAAGATTTTGATATCTAAAAGCATTAACTCAATCAATTAACTCAATTTCTTTACTTTTATCCAAATGAAGATATTTTTATCCTGATTAATACTTAATCTGTTCTCGTCAAACTGCCAATTATATCTTCTTAGTTTATATAAATAGAAGTTTAGCATTCATACAACAAAACATTATATGTACGAATCTTAAAAATGATATCAGACATCTGGGGGATAATGATATCAGACATCTGGGGGATAATGATATCAGACATCTGGGGGATAATGATATCAGACATCTGGGGGATAAACTTAGCTCATATTGTTTGTGGATTATATTCTTTTTCTGTTGAAAATATCGAAGGTAAAATGGCATAGAATATTCTCAAAATTTTCAGTTTAACAAATATGAAAACACAGAGTTCTTCAGTATTTATAAAAGAAGGGAATAGTAATGATTTCAATTCAATAACTTATTGGGTCTCTCTTTAGTGCAGTTAAATAGAAACCGCTTCACAGTGTCCGATAGACTGGAAGATAAAGTGTGCTCTCCACTAGTTGATCAGCTTGCTATTACTGCATTTCATTGTGTGACACCAGTTACGAGCGATTTAATAAGATCAACTAATTTCATAAATTTATTTTACAGAATAGCCTTTAGCATAAGTGAACATTTTATTTCTAACTTTATTGATTCTTAGACAAAAATCACATATTGGCGCGATACATTTACCGTCTAACAAGAGTTTTCCATTCACAAGACAACTCTTTATCTCCAATCCGATGTAACATGAGGATATAAAATATATTTGATATTCTACTGACCTTCAGGATTAATATCGTCTGTTCGATTTCCGTTGGAAATTGCTGTTAATTCAATATATTCGTCATTAAATTGATTGAATGTATTTAGCTTTTCAATCAATGTTTCATCATTAGAATGTCAGAATTATTTGAAATAAGTGAAACGATTGATGTTTAGTCTCGTTCTAGATTTAATGTGTGCGTGTGTATGGGTTTGTGCACATGCGTGTGTGTGTGCGCGTGTGTGCATATGTATGTGTGTGCGTGTGTGTGTGTGTGATGGTGGATATGATGAATGTTATCTGTGTGTGCGCTTATGTGCTTGCGTCTGCATTTTGAGTCAAAAAACATCTACACTCGCCAATTACTGCACCAACGGAATAAAACACAACCCTTAATTACTGACGAGTATATAAAGAGTTTTGATTCATCTTTATATTTTTGTATAGTTTTTTTTTACGTCTGAATCGGTGTATATTTCGTAGAATGAGAAATTGAGGCCAGTTCCTTTTTAAAATGTCGTTCACATAAAATAACCTATTCACAAAATATAGAAATGAAACATTTTTGGTGGAAATGTTCAGAGCCTGTCGTACAATATCTAAGAGCGAGTGACAATTAAATCTCGGAATGAACACAGCGTGTCGATGTGATAATGAGGAAGGCAAGCATTTGTACTGTAGCATACCCGAACACGTTCCAGTTTAGAATTTCTTGAGATGAGAACCAGTTGAGTTATTCGTTGCCGAACAGTAGAGGAAGTTATACGTGTTTATGTTATACTTTTGACGGAAAGTAGGTGAAAGAAATCAGGAACAGCGGATTGACATAAAGTTTTGCTTGAAGATTGGTAAAAGTGCGAGTGAAACGTCAACTCTGTTAAAAGTGGCTTTTGAAGAAATCAAAGGCTTTTGTGATGTTCAACGAAGGGCGAGTTGTGCACTATGACGCGACATGTGGATAACCAAAAGACAAAAGACCGATGAAAATGTGAACAAAGTGCGATCTCTGGGGCATTCAAATCGAAAATTAGATATGCGTACGATAGAAGAAGAACTGATTTTGAAAAGGGAAACAGTGCAGCAGATTTTGAATGAGAAATGAAGCGTTAAGAATTTCTATGTAAGAAATCCATTAGAAGCGCCATCCACCTTATTCTCCAGTCTCAGTCCTCCATTTAATTTTTGGTCTATTTCCCAAAATGCTCTGAAAATACAATGATTTGCTGATATCACTGACATCTAACAACACGTGTCTTTATTACTGAAAGGGAATTCTTTTCTTGGAACTTGTTTGCCTGGGAAAAGAAGTTATAAGCTTCAAATGAAGAATATTTTGAAGATAACAACAGTCAATAGTAATCAGGTAGGCAGATTTTATTTTCACAGGGTCATTACGGAAATTTAATTATCACACATCATATTCTATACAATCGTCAATATAATGAACATTATTATTATTATTAATTTGTACTTATTAAGTGTCTTAACCAAAAGTATCTGTTGGCTTTCAAGAGTGTTTAAGTGACACTAAATTATCTCAATATATTAGCGTTGCCCTTATGATTGTTGATCATTTTAATAATGTCGTCATCTGGCAACTAACCAAACAACTAACATGAAAGAACTCTTTCATGACATTAATCTATATAATATCCTACAATCTCTTAAAGAAATCAAGCTGTATTCCAAAATATAACTTCAACAAAACTACAACATAAAATACACGTCACTGTCTCTTGTGATCATGTCAACAGAAAAATGTACATAAACAAAAACCGAATATCATCTACCATGTATTTAATTGTGAAAGCAGAATAACATATACCTTATTTTAATTATTTTAAAGCTTGGAAGAAAATTAAATTTCAGTATTAAGTGACCCATAATGAGTTGATATGCCGTTAAACAAAACAAACAAATAAAATCATGCTCTAAACACGAAACGGAATTGTTGAATTTGCCTATTCAGATCAGCCCTAAACCATGCTTCTTTGAAGGAGACTGAAGGCAATGTCAATTTATATATATACACATATATATATATATATATGTATATATATATGTGTGTAGAGAGAGAGAGAGAGGGAGAGAGAGAAAGAGAGAGAGTGAGGGAGAGAGAGACAGGAATTCGGTGATACCTTTTATTAAAAAATCTATTTAAACTGGTTCCGCAAAACTCATGATACAGTAATTATCTTGATTTCAGTAGGAGTTAAGCAAACGACATGATTTCAACTATGAAAGTGAAAGTTCTTGTAAACAGAAAAATATGGTAGTTTGGGGTTTGAACTCCTGAAAAATCATCCTTTTAATGCAGTCATAGAAGGAGACAGCAGGCAATAAATATTCTGACGCGTTACACGATAAAAATGCAAGAAATTGAGAAAATTCATTAATATCAGCAACATTTGTGAGAAATAGAGAAATAATGAAATTGACAGTCATGATCATAATCATTAGAGAAGTGATAAATAACACATACACCCCTTCATCCAGTTATAAAGCTTAGTACAAGTTGTCACATGGTTACTCGCAGGAGTATAACAATCAGTGAAGATAGAACTCAACTTGTTAACTAGCGTATTCTAATAAAGACTCCGCAAATATCATCACTAAATCAACGAAACTCTGATTCGATTTAAGGGTAGAACGTGTTTATCCTTTTTGGGAGGGCTCCTTGGTTTGGCCGACGGCATTTCAGCACCCCCTTGTAAAACTGATATGAAGATTCCAAAGTTTATCGAAAACCTTCCTGATTCTTAAAAGAAGGCTTGCTTATAACTAAGACCCAGAGATGCTTTCCACGCCCCGCACCCTACCTCGTTACGCATGTTACGTTTTTTTCTATCTAGGATCAGAGTGTAGTATCTGTCAGAGTGTAGTACCTGATTCTTCTGAAGTGGAATAAGTTGATATTTCTGACTGGAAAAATACATAATAATAGTAAGTGAACAAAAAAAAGAAGGAAAATGCAAGAAATAAGGGGGAGAAGGGAAAAGATATTGAGGTATTGTAGTGAGTAAGAAAATTGAAGAAAAAAAGAAAACAAGTTTAAAGGAAAGATTCTGTGTGTGAAAAGCGAAAGTAAATGAGAACGAGCGAGAGACGCAGGTAACATGTGTAGACAAAGAGAAACAAGCTTGTTGGATAGATATCAAGAGACGATCTACGAAAGATTTTCATTCAGTTAGAGAGGAAAAGTAAAAATGGTGATCCATTAAAATCCTTCATGGAAAGGCAAAGCAAAAGAAAGATGGAGGAAGCCGTAGAAAGTAGATGTTTATTATTTAATTATTTTTACGCTGGCCAATGAATCTTAGGATAACGGAGAGTATGAGAAAATACAGATAAGGGGTGAAAGAAGAAATAGGAAAATAATGAACTGTACTAGTTACCTCCCCTCCCTAGAATGTTCACATGTTCAGCTAATATATGTTTATATTTATTGTCTTCTATCCTCACTGCCATTCATTTTCTTCTCATTTTAATTATTATTTATAATATATATTAATTAATATAAAATTAATATATACCATTATTATTATCATTGTTTTAACGTGGCAGTCCTGCAACAAAGAGTATATATATATATATATATATATTAAGATATCATTATTTTTAAATTCCTATCTAGCAAATGTTACGCATTTTTCTTGAAATTCTATGACATTTCAAAATAACTGTTTGAGTACCGTTGGTTGTTGAAGATGTTCGTTTTTTACCTTGTAAAAATTTTTGTATTTTAATCATTTAAATGTTTTTTTTTTATTTTTGTATTATCTTATATTTACAAAAATTGAAGATTGAGTTGTTGAAATTAACGTGAGGAACAATTCATAAATAGAATTTATATCAGCAGGTGCGCACATATATAATTGCACGTGCAATTTACAAATAATGCATAGACGCAAGTAAACAAGTGCGCACACGGACAAACTTATACATATATGAGTTATTACCGATCTCTTTCTCTCTCTCATTATATATATATATATATATGTGTGTGTTTGATTATTGGTGTGTGTTTCCATATATAATAGAGATATAACTGATGTATATATATAAACAATATATATAATATATATATATATATATATATATATATATATATATATATATATATATATATATATATATGCATTCATATGTAAAATATCTGCACACATATACACACCCACATACTTACACACGCAAATGAATTCAAAATTATTGTTATTGATATACTCGACTTGAGTTAAAAATATGTAACAGTCTATATGTATATGTATGTGTGTGATTATTTAAATCTGTGTTTTTATATAATGTGCAAACACACACACACACACACACACACACACACACACACACACATATATATATATATATATAATTATGAACCATTTAGGGCGCTATATGTTGGAGTGTTTTACATTGTTCAGGCTGTGACATTTCTTTGACGCTCCAAACAATGCGCAAAGAGTACACGAGCCATGCCGATAACCCTTTTACAGAAGGTGATGAAGCTGTAAACACACTTCTCTGAAATGTCAGTACCTTATTATATTCTAGAAGATGACCACTGCTATTGTTAAGGGATTTTCTTTTCTGTTGAAGAAGATTACTCAAATGTGTAAACAAGTGGGAGAACAAAGTTTGTCATTTTAAAAAACAGAATTGTTCAGTAGAAAGCCAATAGCATACAGACATATACACAAACACACATTATATACAGATACAATCAAGTTTCCATTTATAAATGTATACTTTTTTTCTTTTAGGTAACATACGCGGATGCACACCTAAATGGGAATGTGTCTCGTAATAATTGTAAAGACTCTATAGCCTATAACAAGTTTGGTTCTCGTGACTACTAGTAGCTCTTTAATAGTGTGTTAAATAAGAGTCCGTTTTCTTTCCCTCCACTCATTTTGAGGTAATAATAGCTTCTAATAAAACACAGACTATTTTGCTGGTAAATTCTCTTCATATTCTGCTCCTGACTCATCTGGGTTATTTTTGACTGACTTTACATTTAAAACTGAGTCTCTATTGATTGTTATGCATATAATTCCGGTCATGGTTTCTGCTATCATCTCTACACTAGATCCCCAAAAAGCATGTGAAACTTGATGGTATCTCTGAAAATAGTCACGAAGAAATATACTCCTGAACTGGTTCATGTTCTCCATAGACTCTACAGTACATTCTTTGCTTCTTCTTGCTTTCCTGTGAGTTGGAAATCCGCATTTGTAGTCCCAGTCTTTAAGAACTCAGATGATCCGTCTGATACTTTTAACCCTCGGCGTATTGACCTTCTACCACTTTTGGCAAATCACTAAAATCTCTAATCAACTCTGAATTGGTTAAGCAAGGTTTTCTTTCTGATAAACAATATGGCTTCTCTAGGTCAACTGCTGATATATTATAAATTATTGTTATAAGAGTCTATCAATTTTTAGATAAGAATGGTGAAGCTGGAGACGTTTCTTTGACTATCCCGATGGCATTTGACAGGGTTTGGCATTCTGGTCTTCTCCACAAATTATAAGGTTATGGTATTTCTGGGTGAATTTTTGAACTGATTCAGTCTTTCTTATCAAATCACGAAATGAAACTTGTCTTGAATGGACACTCTGCTAGATTTTTTTGCATGGATGCAATAAAATTGGCAGCTGATCTAAAAAAAAATAACCCAAAATTCATTTTTAACAGGAGCAAGAAAGGCTAGTTAATTTTAATGCCTCTAAAACGAAATTGCTCTCTTTTAATCGTCTGAGAGAACCTTTTTTGCCTTCTACAAACATGGCTGATGCTAACCTCCAGGAGAGTGATTCATTGCGCCTTCTTGGGATAACGTTTTCAGCCGACATGAATTGGAAAGATTTTATTGATTCAATTACCTGTATCTGTTGTTATGAATAGTCCACTGTGTCGTGTTAGATAATTTTTCTCTCCAGAATCTATCTTACACATTTATCAGTCTACCACTCGTCTGTGCTTTGGATGTTGCTACCACATATGATCTGATACTTCTGCTATGTATTTCGAGATTCTTAATAAATTAATCTAGAAAAATCTGCAATGTTATTGGTCCTGGCCTGGCATTGCGGCTTCAGCCACTTTCCCACCGCCGTAACGAAGCGTCTATGTGCCTTTTCTATGAATACTTTCATGGTAATTGTTCTGATGAACTTTCCTCTAATATCCTTAGATTTCAAGAATTTAAGTGCAGTACTAGATTGGCGGCAAGGTCTCATCATTTTACACTTGAAATGGCTGCTAGATGAAACCGTAGGTTCTATCCTAACATTTTCTTCTATCATATTTCCCCATTGTAGAAAGCTTTTCCGGCTTCTTGCTTTTCAGTCAAATTTGATCTGTAATTTAAAATTTGAATGCAATATCAATCGTTATCTAATGTGCTGTTATTTTATTGTTCTCTCTCCTTAATAGTGTTTTTACTCATATTCTCTCATACTGAGTAATCCTTTGCATCTTAGTGGTTTATTTACTTACTTGGAGTGAAAAGATTAAAAAATATATGTAAATTTATATTTTATGAATTCAAATTCATGAACATGTGACATTGGAAGACATGCAAAGAAACACAATGCATATCTACAAGACACAACCATTTTGTAATGATGTATGAGAGCCGGAAGCACTCAGTAGATATTGAACAAATTATTTTCTCCACAGAATGCAGAAAAATGATCGTAACATTAAATAGATATACAAACTTAAACAAAAAATTTTCGTTGGTCTCTCACTTTCTCCCTCTCTCTCTCTCTCTCTTTTTCTCTCTCTCTCTCACACACAGACACACACACAGACACTCAAACACACATATAGCACATTGAGGGTAGGTGCTAATAAAACCGGGCTCAGTGTATAATAAGCTATAATTCATATTAATAATATTTACGTTATTTTCCTTATCGGTATCACAACTCATGCACAATGTAATTGTCAGATACGGCTAGAAAACTGACTGTTTCATAACATGTTGACTATTGTATTTATACAAAAAGGTAAACACATACCCACAGGTAAATGTACATTCATACACTTCTATTCATATATATATATATATATATATATATATATATATATATATATATATATATATATATTATATATATATATTCCGTATATTTTGGCACCATGTTTTCATTTCGACATGTCTAATTAAACAATTTGGACATGTTATGCTTACTTTTCTTCAATAAGATCCTTTTTATAATCACATATCAGCTTTTTGTTACATGATTAAAGACAGCGAGAAAGATGCTGTGGTTATATTTATTCATTTTCATTTTTTCCGAGTACTTGGATAAAAATACTGTTTAATTAAAAAACGGAGCTTCTACTCGATATGAGTATCCCTAAAAAATAAGGTTTAAACAAAATAAATTACTCACACACACACACACACACACACGCGCGCGCGCGTGCATATACATGTGTGTGTGCACGTGTGTGTGTGTGAGAGGCCATTAAAATATCTAGAGCCTAAGAAGCATTTATTTCGCACAACAAACGTTTATTTCTTAAAGATAATATAATTCTTTGTTAATGCATTAATTCCATGGCGAATATTAATAAGATTCTATATTCAAAAATTTCAGATAAACATTTGTCATTGGTAATCTCAATTTCTGTTGCCAATACGGAAACACTATCGATAAGTCACATCCAACATACACATCAATGCTCCGAAATGACCAATCATTCTCTCGAAGGGCCACAACCTTTTAAACGGCTCTAGTTCAGCAAATATCTTCATATATATATAGAATCAAGATTTAGAAATATATTTACATATAAGATGGAGAGTAATGAATAACTTCATTTGTTCTTTTGAAAACATTGTTTCCTACAGTGTTTTTACAGTTTAAATGCTCATCTTGAACTCAAATGCTATTGCTACCAAAACGTTTTTCATCATTTTTGAGCAAGAGATATATGTAATCAATAACAGAAAACTCTTGCCATATAAGAGATGAGATATGAGAAAAATAACCTTACAATTGGTAAAGCAGTGATTGAAAAGTGCTAACGCGTTTGCAATTACAACTCAGACACTGGCCAATGTAATCTTTATACAGCGACACGAACAATTAGCATAAGCGGAAGACGCTCTATTTCAGTCTCACTCTCTCCCTGATTTTCTTTCTCTCTATTTATCTATGTGTGTGTGAGAGCCTTTGTGTGCGAGTGTGCACGCATGTGTGTATATGTGCGTACATGCATGTATGTGTGTATATCGGTATATTATCATGGCTAATATATACATGAAATCCTTCAAGAAAATGAAGGCAAATGATATGGCACATCATCCTCAATAAGCAAAATCTAGAATTGGAGAATAGAACCATTGCATGAAGTAATTACACATGTTTTGCCAAACTTAGTTAACAACGAGATCGTAATTTATATTTGTTACTTTTCTTTGGCTATTTCAATAGCTATAATTTAAACGTTATGTCACATTTATTGTTTATATTAATTACAAAGCAAGAAAAAATGACAATTTAAATATCTATTATTGAAATATGTATCATATAAATATATATTTTGTGAGAAAAATCTACGTATTCGATTAAATCTTTCAAACATACATATTATCAGAATTAATTCATAACTATTATTAAATTATAGATGGGCCTACTTTCATTTTGCACACATCCCTGCAAATGTGTGAAGATAAATTACATTTGCACATGCCCACACACATATCCACACACGTATATATGTGATTGTATTTACAATCACATGTACTAGTATTTCATTATCCCGTATTATCGGCGAATTTCAAATCTTGCACAACACACGGTGGGAACGATATCGGGATGGTTATTATCGTATTTATTTGATTTATTTTGCTTAAACGAAATTCAATAAGTTTATACTTTGCCCAAACGGATTTTTCTATTGATGAATGATTATGGAACATGGAATTTTAACATTCTTTTGCATTGAAAAGCACAATTGGAGGCAAATGTATCACACGTTAGTGGACACAATGAAAAGGAAGATTTAATATTTCTTTTTCATCCACCCTCTGAATATATATATATATATATATATATATATGCATCAACTTATTTATAAATATTGATTACAATAACCTATTATTATTTTCATAAATTTCTGAACGCACAGAAACACATGCACACACATGTATGTGTGTGTTAAATATTGATTGCAAGAATTTTTTATTCAATTCAGCAATTTCTGTACACACACTCACACACACGTAAGTATACCAAACAACAACCAAATATACATCAACAAAAGTTCTAAACCATCCCATAACGTATTTAATCTATAAGTATTTATAAATAAAAGAATTTCAATAAGTTTTAGTCGCCAAAAAATATTCAATGAAAATTTAAAAAAAAATCATACAAATCAGCCCCAAAAAAAAAAAAAGCAGCGGATATTCAAACAAGCAAAATGTCATTCGAAAGAAAAAATACACAAAAAATAGAACCGTATCAAAATACATATGGAGTCAAAAAG